CTCGATCTCTTGACCTTGTGATCCACCCACCTCGGCCTCCCAAAGTGCTAGGATTACAGGCTTGAGCCACTGCGCCCGGCCTGATGTATTATTTTTAATTAATTAATTATTTATTTTATTTTATTTTTGAGACGGAGTCTTGCTCTGTCACCAGGCTGGAGTGTAGTGGCACAATCTCGGCTCATTGCAACCTCTGCCTCCTGCGTTCAAGTGATTCTTCCACCTCCAGCCTCCCAAGTAGCTGGGACCACAGGTGCATGCCACCATGCTTGGCTAATTTTTGTATTTTTAGTAGAGATGGGGTTTCACCATGTTGGCCAAGATGGTCTCGATCTCTTAACCTAGTGATCCGCCCGCCTCGGCCTCCCAAAGTGCTGGGATTACAGGTGTGAGCCACCGTGCCCAGCCTAATTTTTAATTTAGATAAAATTCACATAACACGAAATTTACCATTTTAAAGTGTACAATTCAGTGGCTTTTAGTGTATTTACAATGCTGTGCAAACTACCACCCCTATCTAGTTCTAAAATATTTTAAATTCTGTCTTCCTTCAGCATCTGGTAAGCATCATTCAGTTTCCAGCTCTGTGGATTTGCATGTTCTAGACATTTCACATAAATGCAGTCATATTCTGGGTACGGTGGCTCACACCTGTAATCCTGACACTTTGGGAGGCTGAGGTAGGTGGATCACCTGAGATCAGGAGTTTGAGACCAGCCTGACCAACATGGTGAAACCTCGTCTCCCAACTAAATATACAAAAAAATTAGCTGGGCATGGTACCAGGCTCCTGTAATCCCAGCTACTAGGAAGGCTGAGGCAGGAGAATCACTTGAACCTGGGAGGTGAAGGTTGCAATGAGCCAAGGTCGCGCCATTGCACTCCCGCCTGGGCAACAAGCAAAACTATCTCAAATAAAACAAAACAAAAATAAATAAATGCAGTCATGTACCCACAGAGTAATGCACTCTGTACCCATTAAACAGTAACTCCCCATGCCCTTCCTCCGAGCCCCTGGTATCTTCTATTCAACTTTCTGTCTCTATACATTTGGCCTATTCTAGGTACCTCATATAGGTGAAATTATACAACATGTGAGTGGCCTTTTGCGTCTGGCTTCTTTCAGCATGATGTTTTTCAAGTTTTATCCACACTGTAGAATCTATCAATATTCCATTTCTTCTTATGGCTACATAACAGTCTTCTTTCTTTTTTTTTTTTTTTTTTTTTAGATGGAGTCTTGCTCTCTCACCCAGGCTGGAGTGCAGTGGCGCAATCTCTGCTCACCACAAACTCTGTCTCCTGGGTTCAAGTGATTCTCCTGCCTCAGCCTCCGGAGTAGCTGGGATTACAGGCACTTGCCACCATGCCCAGCTAATTTATGTTATTTTTAGTAGAGACAGGGTTTCACCATGTTGGCCAAGCTGGTCTCAAACTCCTGACCTCATGATCCACCCACCGCAGCCTCCCAAAGTGCTGGGATTACAGGCGTGAGCCACCACACCTGGCCTGGCTACATAATATTCTATCTACTTATTATTTTTGTTCGTTTTCTTTCTTTCTTTATTTTTCTGAGATGGAGTCTGGCACATTGCCCAGGCTGGAGTGCAGTGGTGCAATCTCCTCTCACTGCAGCCTCCACCTTCCAGGTTCAAGTGATTCTCCTGCCTCAGGCTCCCAAGTAGCTGGAATTATAGGTGCCCACCACCATGCCAAGCTAATTTTTTGTATTTTTAGTAGAGATGGGGTTTCGCTATGTTGGCCAGGCTGGTCTCAAATGCCTGACCTCGTGACCCACCTGCCTCGGCCTCCCAAAGTGCTGGGATTACAGGTGCAAGCTACCACGCTCAGCCCCTACTATTTTTATTTTATAAACACTGATTGACGGCTTCACTTTTGGAAGGCCACCAGTGTGCCACACACTTTGCAGTTCCCTCACCTATACTCTTATATGTATTCCATTTAGTATAAACTAATGACCTCCGTTGTGCAGATGAGGAACCTGAAAGCCAGATGAAATAGCGGCTTTTCCGGAGGTCGTATCGCTGCTTAGTGGTTAAAGCAGTGTTAGAACCTTGTGGTATCTTGATTTCCAAGTGCCTGCAGGGCTTGAAAGAATGGAGACAAAGAAGGTCAGGGGCAAGAGGCCAAGAGAAGCCCAGCAGGTGCTGACCCTCACCATGGGGATGTGATGGGGGTGGGAGGAGGTGAGGTAGGGTCCCCCATTTCAGCTTCTTCCCCTCCATCCACCTTCCCATTGCCCTCCCTAGCCATCTGCACCCCCAGCCAGGGCCAACACCATTCTGACTGTTGCTTTGCCTGCCTCCACTTTAGCCCTGGTCTTTGACTCCCTGGTAGAAAAGGCTGAGGCCCAGCAGGCGCGGTGGCTCAAGCCTGTAATACCAGCACTTTGGGAGGCCGAGGCGGGTGGATCACGAGGTCAAGAGATCGAGACCATCCTGGTCAACATGGTGAAACCCCGTCTCTACTAAAAATACAAAAAGCTAGCTGGGCATGGTGGCACGTGCCTGTAATCCCAGCTACTCAGGAGGCTGAGGCAGGAGAATTGCCTGAACCCAGGAGGCGGAGGTTGCGGTGAGCCGAGATCGGGCCATTGCACTCCAGCCTGGGTAACAAGAGCGAAACTCCTTCTCCAAAAAAAAAAAAAAAAATAAAAAAAAAAAATAAAAAAGGCTGAGGCCCAAGGCCTCTGGGCTGACTGCTCTTGGCATAAGTCCTCTGCACCCTTCCCCCAAGGGAGAGGCCACTCTTTTACCTTGAAGCTCCACTTTGTTCTACTCTTGTTCCTCTGCTGAGTCCTGGTTAGCCTTCCTGGGGCCTGACTCTCCCATTCTCCAGCACCAGCCCTGACCTGACCTCTCCTCCTCCAAACCTGCATGGGGCCCTGCAACTAAGCGCAGCTATGTCTGGTCTTTGTCCAGACATCAAATGGTCCAGGGAGGAGGTGGCATTGTGGTTATTTTTGGCTAAGAGGCTTTCTGTACCCTGCCCAATCCCAGCCTCATTCCTAATGGGTTATAAGAGTGTTATTCATGTTTCTTACCATACATCTTCCCCAACCCCAGCGCACACACACACACACACACACACACACACATCTTCTTCCTTCCCACTTATGTCGTCTCCTTAGGAACTGGAGCCCCCCCCGACCCCCCCTCACCGTCCCCCTGTCCCCCGTGCTCCCTGCTCTACCCAGCCTCCTGGCGTCAGTTCTCCGAACTTTGGTGAGAGTCCTCCAAGGAAAACATATAACAATTTAGAGTTTCAACTGCGTCTCCAATAGCCTGAGTACAGAGGTGGCTTGAGGCTGGGAGGGTGGTGGAGAGGCTGTTCTGTAGAAGTCAGAGTCCTTCTGCTACCCCAGGGCTTCTTGCTGAAGGGGCATTGATTGAGAACACTGGAGCCTGGGGCTCTGGTTCCCACCCATCTGGAGGCCTTTCTAGAAGTGCTCAGTTCTTCTCTTCCTCTTCCTTATTGGGGTGTTGCGAGCTTGTGCCTTGGAGAGATGGTGGAGGGGTAAGGCAACTCTGTCCTTTATCAGGGTTTGGAAATCTCTTATGAGGTCCTGGCTCAGGGGCGCACTGGGCAGCAAGGCCAGCTTTAGCACCTTCTCCTGGTAGTGAGGCAGAGGGTTCGGGCAGGGCCAGCTCCTGGCGAAATTATTGGGAAATGGGTTTGGCATGAGCTGGAGGCCCTGGGGTTCAAACCTCCCACCATCGGATATGTGCTGGTACCTGTTAGGGGAAGGGTGTGGAGAGAACAGAGAGATCAAAGAAGAGATCCAAGCACAGTGGAGAGACGCAGAAGGGGAAGGGTGATGCTACTGTCCACAGCTAGTTAGCCATCAGGCGGCAGGGAATCCCTTCTGTCTCTCCACCTAATCGGATATTGACCTATGCCAAATGGCCTGCATCTTATGTTTGGCATTAGGCCGGTGACATATGTTGCTCAGCAAGTAAGCCTTCCATCCTTTTCACGTACTGTATTTAATATTATGATCCAGATCCCGATCCATATTCTAACTGTCCTTCAAGTCTCACCTTTTCCTGTAATGCAGTGCCAGTGGGAAGATCACAGAACTCAACTCAACTGGATGACTGCCTCTTCTCAGTAAGCCTGCAGTATTGGGTCCAACAGGAGGAAATAGTCTTTTTTTTTTTTTTTTTTTTTTTTTTTAACACAGCTAAATAGTAGCAGATTTTCTATGGCTCAGCACACTTTGCACCTGGTTCAGCAGATAGTTCTCTGCTATTGTTGGTTTATACAGAGGTTCTCAGCCTGGCTGCACATTAGAATCACCCTGGGAGCTTTTAAACACACCCTACCCAGGCTGCCCCCAAGGTCAGTTAAGTTAGCATCTCCAGAGGGAGGCTCAAACCTCAGCATTTAAAAAAAGAGCCCCTAGGCCGGACATGGTGGCTCACGCCTGTAATCCCAGCACTTTGGGCAGCCAAGGTAGGTGGATCACCTGAGATCAGGGGTTCGAGACCAGCTTGGCCAACATGGTGAAATTGTGTCTCTGCTAAAAATACAAAAATTAGCCAGTCATGGTGGCAGGCACCTGGAGTCCCAGATACTCAGGATGGTGAGGCAGGAGAATCACTTGAAACTGGGAGGCGGAGGTTGCAGTGAGCTGCGATCATGCCACTGTACTCCAGCCTGGGCAAGAGCAAGACTCCATCTCAAAAAAAAAAAAAAAAAAAAAAAAAAAGGCCCCAGCTCATGATAATGGGCTGCTAGGATTCAGAACTGCTAGGTTTTCATGTAAATGTTCTATTTCTCCAACAAGATCATGCTTACGTCTCATTTTATGTCTGAAGTCCTCTGGGTCCCTAGTGCTTCAATGTGCTTGCTGACTGATCCAGTCATTTTTTGAGGGAGTCTCACTCCATCACCCAGGCTGGAGTGCAGTGGCACAATCTTGGCTCACTGCAACCTCCATGTCCCAGGCTTAAGCAATTCTCCTGCCTCAGCCTCCCTAGTAGCTGGATTACAGGCACCCACCACCACGCCTGGCTGAATTTTGTATTTTTATCAGACATGGGGTTTCACCATGTTAGCCAGGCTGGTCTAGAACTCCTGACCTTGTGATTCACCCGCTTTGGCCTCCCAAAGTGCTGGGATTACAAGCGTAAGCCACTGTGTCTGGCCTAATTTTTTATATTTTTAGTAGAGACGAGGTTTCACCATGTTGACTCTTTTTTTTTTTTGAGGCGGAGTTTCTCAAAAAAAATCTCGGCTCATCGCAACCTCTGCCTCCTGGGTTCAGGCAATTCTCCTGCCTCAGCCTCCTAAGTAGCTGGGATTACAGGCACGCACCACCATGCCCAGCTGATTTTTTTTGTATTTTTAGTAGATACAAAATACGGGGTTTCACCATGTTGACCAGGCTGATCTCGAACTCCTGACCTCAAGTGATCTGCCCACCTTGGCTTCCCAATGTGCTGAGATTACAGGCATGAACCACCACACCTGCACACTCAGCCTAGGGTCTTTTTTTTCTTTTTTTTGAGACAGAGTCTCACTCTGTTGCCCAGGCTGGAGTGCAGTGGCATGATTTTGGCTCACTGCAACCTCCACCTCCTGTGTTCAAGCAATTCTCCTGCTTCAGCCTCCTGAATAGCTGAGATTACAGGTGTGCACCATCATCCTGGCTAATTTTTGTATTTCTAGTAGAGACAGGGTTTTGCCATGTTGGTCGGGGTGATCTTGAACTCCTGATCTCAGATGATCCACCCACCTCGGTCTCCCAAAGTGCTGGGATTACAGGCATGAGCCACCTTGCAGGACAATTTTTTTTTTTTTAAGATGGGGTTTCACCATATTGGTCAGGCTGGTCTCAAACTCCTGACCTCAGGTGATCCACCCACCTCAGCCTCCCAAAATGCTGGGATTACAGGCGTGAGCCGCTACGCCCTGCGCAGGCCAATTTTTAACTACATTTTAAACCCCTTAAGTAGCTGCTCAGAAGGAACGGCGGGACTCAGTGGGCTTTTCCTTTCATCATGATTTCTTGTTCCCACCAGGTGAACTTGTACACCTCCTTCAAGGTCTATCTAGCTCAAATACAGTCATGTATCACTTAATGACGGTGGCACACTCTGAGAAACGCATTGTTTGGTGATTTTGTTGTTGTGAGGACATCGTAGTGTACTCAACACAAATCTAGACAGACAGCATACTATACTCATAGGCTATATGGTACAGCCTATGGCTCTGAGGCTACAAACCTGAACAGCATGTTACGTTCTGAAGACTACAGGCAAGTATAACACAATGGTGAATATTTATATACCTAAACATAGAAACGGTAAAGTAAAAATACAGTATAAAAGATTAAAGGCCGGGAGCAGTGGCTCAAGCCTGTAATCCCAGCACTTTGGGAGGCCGAGGCAGGTGGATCATGAGGTCAAGAGATCGAGACCATCCTGGTCAACATGGCGAAACCCCGTCTCTACTAAAAATACAAAAAATTAGCTGGGCATGGTGCCACGTGCCTGTAATCCCAGTTACTCCAGGAGGCTGAGGCAGGAGAATTGCCTGAACCCAGGAGGTGGAAGTTGCGGTGATCCAAGATCGCTCCATTGCACTAGCCTGGGTAGCAAGAGTGAAGTGAAACTCTGTCTCAAAAAAAAAAAAAAAAAAAGAGATTAAAGATTGGCCGGATGTGGTGGTGGGCGCCGTGTGGTGGTGGGCGCTTGTAATCCCAGCTACTTGGGAGTTCTGAGGCAGGAGAATTGCTTGAATCTCGGAGGCAGAAGTTGCAGTGAGCTGAGGTTGTGCCATTGCGCTCCGCCTGGACAACAAGAGCAAAACTCCATCTCAGAAACAAACAAACAAAATATATTAAAGATTAAAAAGTGTATAGGGCACTTATCATGAACGGAGCTTGCAACTTCCATTTGGAAGTTGCTCCATGTGAGTGAAAGCCTAGGACATTACACTACTGCAGACTTCATAAACACTACATGATTAGGTAACACTAAATTTATTTATTTATTTAGGATGGAGTCTGGCTGTGTCACCCATGCTTAAGTGCAGTGGCCTTGATCTTGGCTCACTGCAACCTCTACCACCTGGGTTCAAGTGATTCTCCTGCCTCAGCTTCTCAAGCAGCTGGGATTACAGGTGTGCACCGCCACTCCCAGCTAATTTTTGTATTTTTAGTAGAGGCAGGGTTTCTCCATGTTGGCCAGTTTCTCCATGTTAGCCAGGCTGATCTTGAAATCATGAGCTCATGTGATCCACCCGCCTTGGCCTCCCAGAGTGCTGGGATTATAGGCGTAAGCCACTGTGCCCAGCCATTAAGTTAATTTTATTTATTTATTTATTCATTTCCGAGACAGAGTCTTGCTCTGTCACCAGGGATAGAGTACAGTGGCTCGATCTCGGCTCACTGCAATCTCCTCCTCCTGCATTCAAGCAATTCTCCTGCCTCAGCCTTCTGAGTAGCTGGGACTACAGGCACCTGCCACCACACCTGGCTAATTTTTGTATGCTTGGTAGCACTAGGTTTCACCACATTGGCCTGGCTGGTCTCAAACTCCTAACCTCATGATCCACCTGCCTCGGCCTCCCATAGTGCTGGGATTACAGGCATAAGCCACCACACCTGGCCTGTTTTATTTATTTATTTATTTATTTATTTTGAGACGGAGTTTCGCTCTTGTTACCCAGGCTGGAGTGCAATGGCGCGATCTCGGCTCACCGCAACCTCCGCCTCCTGGGTTCAGGCAATTCTCCTGCCTCAGCCTCCTGAGTAGCTGGGATTACAGGCACGCGCACCATGCCCAGCTAATTTTTTGTATTTTTAGTAGAGACGGGGTTTCACCATGTTGACCAGGTTGGTCTCGATCTCTCGACCTTGTGATCCACCCGCCTCGGCCTCCCAAAGTGCTGGGATTACAGGCTTGAGCCACCGCGCCCGGCTATTTATTTATTTTTTTGAGACAGAGTCTCGCTTCCTCACCCAGGCTGGAGTGCAATGGTGCAATCTCAGTTCACTGTAACCTCCGCCTCCGGAGGTTCAAGCAACTCTCCTGCCTCAGCCTCCCAAGTAGCTGGGATTACGGGCATGTACCACCATGCCCGGCTAATGTTTTGTATTTTTAGTAGAGATGGGGTTTCACCATGTTGGCCAGGCTGATCTCAAACTCCTGACCTCAAGTGATCTGCCTGCCTTGACCTCCCAAAGTGCTGGGATTACAGGCATGCGCCACCACACCCGGCCCACTAAATTTATTTTTAAAATGAAGTAATTGTGCTAAAATGTTAAGACAGCTACAATATCACCAGGCAGGAGTTTTTTTTAAGCTCCATTATAATGTTATGAGACTGCTGTGGTATATGTGGTCTGTCATTGACCAAAAGGTGATAAGGCACATGACTTCTTGTTATGTGTCATGCCTTCTCTGTGAACAGCAAAACCTTGTCTGAAACTCATTCCTTCTTTCCTGGCTCCAGGGCCTAGGACTACAGCAGTAAACAGGTGAGACAAGGACCCTCCTGTCATGGAGATACCACACTAATAATGATACCTCTGTTGAGCCCCTTCTCTATGCTAGGCCCTGTGCCATTTGACCCTCTAACCACTGTGGGAACTTTTCTTTCTGAGATAGGGTCTCACCATGTTGCCCAGGCTGGAGTGCGTGGCACAGTGATGGTTCACTGCAGCCTCAACCTCCTGGGCTCAGACAGTCTTCCCACTTCAGCCTCCCATGTAGCTGGGTCTACGGACATAGGCCACCATGCCTGGCTGATTTTTTTGATATTTTTGTGGAGACAAGGTCTTACAGGGTGCTCCAGGCTGGTCTTGAACTGGCCTCAGGCGATCCTCCCACCTTGGCCTCCGAAAGTGTTGGGATTATAGGTGTCAGCCACCACACTCAGCTAGGCAAGATACTTGACCTCTCCATCTCAGATAGACCACCTGTAAAATGGGGTTAATGAAGCCTGGCACAGTGGCTCAGCACTTTGGGAGGCCAAGACGGGTGGATTATCTGAGGTTGGGAGTTCAAGACCAGCCTGGCCAACACAGCAAAACCCTGTCTCTACTAAAAAATACAAAAATTAGCTGGGAGTGGAGGTGGGCGCCTGTAATCCTAGCTACTTGGGAAGCTGAGGCAGGGAGAATGTCTTGAACCCAGAAGGCAGAGGTTGTGGTGAACTGAGAAAAAGATGGGGTTAATAGTTTCTAGTCAGAAGGTCCTGGGGGGATTAAATAATACAGTGAAGTGTTCAGAACACCAGCTGGCACGTCTTGCCACTGTGAATTGCTCTGGAGTACTCTCTTTCTCCCCTTTGTGTGCCCAGGGTCAGTACCTGTCAGCAATCGGCAATCTTCAGGGCAAGGGCAGCAGGGAGAAGCCCGGGTCCCCAAGTAGGGGACTGATCTCTCACCAACTTTTGGCCTCACTTTTTTTTTTTTTTTTTTGAGACAGGCTCTCTCTGTTGCCCAGGTTGGAGTGCAGTGGCACAATCTGAGCTCACTGAAACCTCCACCTCCCAGGTCCAAGCAATCCTCCTGCCTCAGCCCCACTAGTAGCTGGAATTATAGGCACATGTCACCATGCCCAGCTGATTTTTGTAATTTTAGTAGCGATGGGGTTCTGCCATGTTGGCCAGGCTGGTCTCGAACTCCTGACCGGTAATCCACCCGCCTCGGCCTCCCAAAATGCTGGGATTACAGGCGTGAGCCATCGCGCCGGGCCGCTTTTTTTTTTTTTTTAGATTAAAAATCCCCACAACCTCCAGCTGCAACTCTCCAGTACCTTGGCCATGCCCTCGAGATTGGAATTTGAGACATTCCCTCTTCATTGCCCTCCGGCTTTCCTGTTACTCTTGCAAGCTCAGTGCCTGGGCTGGACACCGTCGGGAAGCACCCGTGAGTTCTCTGGGTGGCCGGGAGGGGGAGCTGTGGGGTTCACAGCGGCTCCTCTCACGTCCTTGACTCGGCTGTGACTTCTCAGCTCTGCCTGGAGGGCCCCAGCCAATGCTTTTAGCTATCTGCAAGGTTTCCACCCTTCCATCCCGAACCCTGACTTCCCCAAGAAGCCTCCCTGCGGCAGGGACACTCCAGCTCACTGCAACCCTTCTCTCCTGAATTTCTGTAATAGCGTCTAACTCCTGTTGAGTTCTTCCACCTATTCACTAGTTCAGTTTATCCTCCCACAGTGAGGTCGGTACCTGAGGATCCCCCTTCATGGACGGGGCTGAGGCTGGAGAACCTGGCACCTCACCACGGGGATGGGGTTGGAACTGTACTCCAAGTCTTCGGGCTCCAGCTTTCACTCCAGTTCTCTCCATTACTAACTGACTTTCTTACAACACTCGCTGTGTCTCACACTCGGAGTCCTTTGCACAGTATCCTAGTTTTGATTGCTCTCTTTGCAAAGCTCCTTGAGGGCAGGCACTGAATCACACTTCTCCGTATCCCCAGTGCTTAGCGGGTGTCACCTGCCTAGCTGCCACCCCCCCGCCAGATTTTAGTGAAATGTCATGTCTCCACTCTCTGTCCTTCCCTTGTCTCTACCTTATTAAGAGTTTGGTTTTCAGATGGCCAGAGGTGGGAAGGGCAGAGTCCCCGGCTAAAACAGGAACCTGAGCGAGGGAGGGGTCACCTGGGCAGGGCAGGCCGGGTGGGCTCCCTGAGGAGGGGCCGTCTTACTTCTTGAAGTTCGCCGGAGGCCAGATGTTGCCCTGGGCATCTAGTGGAGGAGCCCTTGCCTCACTCCTCAACTTGAGCTTCTCCACCTCCTTCAACTCCTTCACTGTCCTGAAAATCGCCTGCTTCTTCCTATTCTCGTCCACGAATGTGGAGTAACAGTGGATGAAGGTCAGGAAGCTGTTTTGCCCCATCCAGGAGGGAGGGGGGATGGGGTGCTCTGCGGGGGGACGTCGGTGGGCCTTAGAGTCGGTCAGCCAACGCCAGACATTGCTATCGTAGGGCCTGTCAGGCCGGGTGGGGAAGGTGGCAGGCAGACGGCCCACATCGAGCCACGTGTGAAAGCCCCAGGTGTGTTGGGTGGCACCCTTCCAAGGGTGGACGAGCCGCTGCCGCACCTTGGACTTCATATCTGTGCAGGGCGGCAGCTTCAGGGCCAGCTGGTGGTAGGCTTGCCGGGTGAAGCCAGGGAACTCCCAGGACTCACCGGGGAGGAAGAACTCACGCTGAGCCCACGTCTGGGAGGGCAGGAGGTTCTCACTGGCCTGGACCATCTAGGGAGAGACAAAAGGGAGCCTGGGGAAGGTTGTGTGGGCAGGGGGCGCAAAAATGTGGGCGAGGCACTCTGCTCTCCTTCCAGGCACAGCCTCCTCCAGCCCAGGATTCTCATCAGGACACAGAAGGCCTGGTGGGGTCTCTCTCCTACCCAGTGGAAGTTATGGCTGCTCCGTATCATTGTAATCATGTATCATTCTCATGATCACTCAGCTTTTGTTCTCTTGCCATTGACCATATTTGGGCTTTGACTTCCTATCCTCTGTGCTCAGCTTTCGCTCTTTGCCTTCACCTCCCTCCTCCATTCTGGCATCCCCACATTCCCACCCAGGAACTGGTGCTCTTTAGAAGTCACATCAGGCCAGAGGTAATCATGAAGGGAAATGCCCCTAGCATGCTAAGGGGGCAGCCCACCTTCACTTGCTCCTGGTCTTGGTGACATACCAGAAACCTCCTTCCCCAGAAAATAGGGCCAGGTGTTTTCCCATCCCAGACTCCTCTCAATACTCGTTTCTCTGTCATTGACGCTTTCCTCCCACTCCTCATTAAAATGCTAGTATAGAAAACATCTAGAATGACAGCTCCTTCCCCTTTCTGCACTCTGCCACTGTGAAATAAACAGCAGCAAATGCATATAGACACGGTGCTAAATACTTGTACACATCTTATTTAACCCCCGCAACTCTATGAGCAAGTATTGCTATTGTGCCCATCTCAAAGATGCAGAAAGCAAGACACAGTGAGGGCAGGTAACTCACGCAGGGTGGTGAGTGCCTGAGTGACAGCTGGGACTTAAGCCCTCTGTCTGTGCTCCTGCTTGGCATACTATGCCGTGTGAAATGAAATGGCCTTGGCACAGTGCCTGACTGCAACAAGAAGTGTCTCTATTTTTTTTTTCATGAATTTCTCCTCAGAAAAGAAGTGTCTTTTTTTTTTTAAATTTTATTTTTTATTTATTTTTATTTATTTATTTATTTATTTATTTATTTTTATTTTATTTTTTTTTTTGAGACGGAGTTTTGCTCTTGTCACCCAGGCTGGAGTGCAATGGCGCGATCTCGGCTCACCGCAACCTCCGCCTCCTGGGTTCAGGCAATTCTCCTGTCTCAGCCTCCTGAGTAGCTGGGATTACAGGCACGCGCCACCATGCCCAGCTAATTTTTTGTATTTTTAGTAGAGACGGGGTTTCACCATGTTGACCAGGTTGGTCTCGATCTCTTGACCTTGTGATCCACCCGCCTCGGCCTCCCAAAGTGCTGGGATTACAGGCTTGAGCCACCGCACCCGGCCTTATTTTTATTTTTTGAGACGGAGTTTCACTCTTGTTACCCAGGCTGGAGTGCAATGGTGCGATCTTGGCTCACCGCAACCTCTGCCTCCTGGGTTCAGGCAATTCTCCGGCCTCAGCCTCCTGAGTAGCTGGGATTACAGGCACGTGCCACCATGCCCAGCTAATTTTGTATTTTTAGTAGAGACAGGGTTTTGCCATGTTGGTCAGGCTGGTCTCAAACTCTTGACCTCAAGTGATCTGCCCACTTTAACCTCCCAAGGTGCTGGGATTACAGGCATGAGCCACTGTGCCGGGCCCCAGGGACTTTCCTGATTGCAAAAACCCACCTGTTTTTTGGGCTTGGTCCCCTAAGTCATTTCTGTAAGAACATCCCAATGCGTGGGGCTGGGAGATGTGGCACTAGCCAGGCATCTCCTCTACGTTCTAAGCTCTGGGTTCCCGGTGTCACAGCACAAAAAGCGGAAAACAGCAGAAAATGTATGGGCCAGGCAGTCTGCTCCCCAGGAGAAAGCCTGGTCCACCACAGGGGACAGCCTGTAGCCCAGTGGGGTAAAAAAAGGTAGGCAGCAGAGATGGTCCACCCCTACCTGCAGGAATGGTTCTTCCACATGAGGTGGGTGACTTGGCCCTCTGAGTGATCTTTGCTGGTTACTGGCCATTCTTCTGGGGTTCAGAGCTAGGAGGATGGCTTTATGGGGAAGACCTTTCTGGCACCATTGTTTACTCCTAGGGTTGCTATGGTGACGCTACCTGAGTGGTGACACAGAGAGGAGTCCCTCTCCTGTTGCTGGAGGATCTTTTGTCCCTTGGGCCCCTGGCTGCCTTTCAGGTGAGACAGGCAGGTGATAGGGCTCTCTTCAAGTTCTGACTGCAAAAGATGGTAACAGGAGCTGCTGCTGGGTGGAAAGACAGGGCAGGCTGGCTCCCAGCCTCAGGGTGGGGATGGCAGTTGGAATGAAGCACGTGTATCTGGGCTCATCCTGCCCTAATGTTCAGGGGGTCCTACCCCTTGTGAGCTTTTCTCTTATTAAGCAATACCCCAAAGGCCTAAGCTAACCAGCAGGCCCAGAGGTCTCAAGGAACAAGGTCGGAGATGACAGGAAAAAGAGGTCGGCTGTGCAGAACTAGCACTGGGAAAACTAGCAATCTGTGCTCTGAATGTGTGTGCCTGTGCAAGGGGCAGGAAGGAGGGGATTCCCTCAAGCCCTTTGTGTGCTCCAAGTGCCTCTCCGGGTTAACTTGAGGCCTTGCCTCTTCCCTATCACCAGTCTCCATCAACACCCTCTTCCTTTTCCAACCTCTCCTTGTTCCTCAGGAGTCAGACACCAACAAAACACAGAGCCCAGCATGTCCACCCTGGCTTTTATTGAGTAGGTAGTTACAGTAGTGTTCTCAAGCCGGCTCACACCCGTGAGGTCAGCTGGGGCCTAGGCTGGCTCTTTGCAAAGCTGAGGGGCAAGATAAGGAAGTCAGGCAGGTCAGGGGCCCTTTCAGCCTTCTTAAGCCTCCACCTGAGTTCTTGTCAATGCTAGTCCCTTTGGTATGATTAGGGACATTGTCAGAAAACATCTAATGGCACACATCTAGGCACCCACACTCTGCTTCAGTTGCATCCATCCTCCCACCCCAATTTCAACTCTTGTCCCAATACAAAAGACGTTTTTAACCAGGATGTCTTCTTGCAGGAAAGCTGACTAGGAAACATGGGGAGGTGGCAGGGGGGCGCAAAAAGGACTCTGGCAAGCAGATCCACTTGTCTGGTACCTGCAGTAAAGAACCCAAGAGCCAGGTACCTTGGCCTGGAAGAAACCGTGTACTGCTTCCAAGAGAAGGTCCTCTCTTCTCTTGGAACGAAAACCAAGGAACAGAAGTCAACTGAAACTCCTGGTCATCCTACCCACCTTCTGGCAGTCTCTGGATAATGATAGAAGGAAATAAGCTTACATTTATAATTAGAGGATAATTTGGAGAATTTACACTATTTACAAGGGCCACCCTGTAAAGATCAGGGAAGGTGAGAGATTGCTGGGCACAGAATGGGACAGGCTGGGGAGTTCGTAATCTCTTTTCACCATTGCCTTTGTGGTTCCCACCCTTCAGCTCCTGGGAGGGACAGCAGAGGAATCAGATTCTCTTGGGCAGCATAAGGTCCCAGCAGCAACTAGGGTGTGACTGCTACCTTTGCATAATCAGGCAGCAGGGAGCTAGGAGTAGCAGAACAGTCTCTGCCTGCTGTCCGAACTCAGAGGCTTCGGGTGCAATGAGCCTTGGATTGCCCAGCCACAGGAATGCCCAGGGTGGTGGACAGCTTGAGCACAAGGGAAAGGGCAAGGCTCTACTGCAGCTCAGTAATGAGTTGGGACCAGTTGATGTTGTCAGGGCCCAGTGGGTCCTCCTCCAGGCCAGGGAAGCTGATGTCCAGCAGGATCTTGCTGAGGCTATCATTCATTGTGTCCAGAACCAGGCCTTCTGTTAGCGAACGATTGGCTGCAAGGCCAGAAACCTGTGGCTCCGGGGAGCCTGGCTTGGGGACTTCCATATCTGAGGGAGAAGAGTTGCCGAAGGGGTCAGAGGCAAGGTCTAAGGGTTCTGAACTGAGGAGCCTTTGCGGTGATTCAAAGGTGGGAACGCTTTTCAGTGGGGTGGTGCTGAGATCTATCAGCCCCAGGGGGTCAGGCAAGGGGCCAAATGCACCCTGGGGAGTTTGTACTGGGCTGAAATTCAGGCCCCCTACTCTGGCTGGGGGTGTGAGCCTCCAGGATTCAGGGGTTCTGGGAAGGACAGATTTGCTCGGGGTGGAGGAGATGGGCATTGTTTCCTTAATGGGTGTCTTAAAAGGTCCTCCCTCTTCCTGGGGGTAGCTGAGCTGGGAGGTAGGCTCAGAGGAGTCTGCTGGGAATGGGAGCTCTGCGGCCCAGCGGGAAGTACTGGGCCCCTCTGAGAAGAGCAGCTCTGGCTCATCTACACAGGGAGGCATTAGATGCTGTTTCCTTCGAGACCGGCTCATTTCCCTCCTCTCCCTGTGTTTAATCGCAAGCATTTCCGAGACACACCGGGTTGGGGACCTGAGCCCACTGTAGGACTTCTTGGGTCTTGGGGTGGGAGATTGGGACAAATCCTCCCAGGAGGGAGAAGATTCCTCTTTGAAAGATGGGCCTGGGGAGGGCCACTCTTGCAAGGGAGGGCTCTCCACTTTGATGGGTCTCACTAAGTGTGGCATTTCCTCCCCAGGCTGAATTTCTTCCTCCTTGATAGACTGAACTGGAAGCAAAGGAGACAGTCCTTCTCCAAACAGGAGTTTCTCCTCTTTGACTGGTCCTGCAGAAGGAAGAGGAGCTATCCCCTCCTCAGCTAGCAGTACCTGAAAGGGAAACAGACAAGGTGAAAGGGAGCTCTTGCTTCAACCTGCAGTCACCAGACAGGGCACACAAAATCACGTATCACTACTAATCCTCTTTGTGTCGTTTTAAAGTCTTAAAATGCTGAAAACCTGGAGAGAAAAAAAAAAAGTCTTAAAAATCTATTTAATATGAAAATGTCATGTATGCTGAAGTTGGTAGTTCAATTCTGGGGGTAAAAGATGAGAGTATATAATATGTACTGGCATAATTATAATAGCATTCATGTGAGAGAAAATAAAATTGCATGCCTATCTTACACTGTATACGAAGATTTTTTTTTTTTTTTTTTTTTTTTTTGAGATGGAGTTTCGCTCTTGTTACCCAGGCTGGAGTGCAATGGCGCGATCTCGGCTCACCGCAACCTCCGCCTCCTGGGTTCAGGCAATTCTCCTGCCTCAGCCTCCTGAGTAGCTGGGATTACAGGCACGCGCCACCATGCCCAGCTAATTTTTTGTATTTTTAGTAGAGACGGGGTTTCACCATGTTGACCAGGATGGTCTCGATCTCTTGACCTTGTGATCCACCCGCCTCTGGCCTCCCAAAGTGCTGGGATTACAGGCTTGAGCCACCGCGCCCGGCTGTATACGAAGATTTAATGCATGAAAATTAGAACCTTAGGCTGCTCTGATGGTATCAGGAAGGGACATTATTGCCACTAAAGTTGGTACACAATCCCCCCAACTGCTAAATTGGACTGGTTAAAAAAAAAAAAAGAAAACAGGCCGGGCGCGGTGGCTCAAGCCTATAATCCCAGCACTTTGGGAGGTCGAGGCGGGCGGATCACAAGGTCAAGAGATCGAGACCAGCCTGGTCAACATGGTGAAACCCCGTCTCTACTAAAAATACAAAAAAAGTAGCTGGGCATGGTGGTATATGCCTGTAATTCAAGCTACTCAGGAGGCTGAGGCAGGAGAATTGCCTGAACCCAGGAGGCGGAGGTTGCGGTGAGCCGAGGTCGCACCATTGTACTCCAGCCTGGGTAACAAGAGCGAAACTCCGTCTCAAAAAAAAAAAAAAAAAAAGAAAGAAAAAAGAAAACGTTAAAACCATAGAAATCCTGTAAGAGGATCTAGGAAACTACATATACAATCTGAAGGTGGAGTGACCTTCCTAACCAAGACTGGAAACTCAGAAGCTGTAAAAAAGAGACATTTGACTACATAAAAATTTAAAATTTTACTGTAGCAAGAGGTACCATAAACAAAGTTAAGAAATAAACAATGCCTGTAATCCCAGCACTTTGGGACACTGAGGTCAGTTTGAGACCAGCCTGAGCAACATAGTGAGATCCCATTTCCACACACACAAAAAAAAAAAAAAAAAAAAAAAAGTTTTTAAATTAGCTGGATGTGGTGGCATGCACCTGTAGTCCCAGCTACTTGGGAGGCTGAGGTGGGAGGATCACTTGAGCCTGGTAGGTCAAGGAAGGATGCAGTGAGCCATGATTACACCACTGCACTCCAGACTGGGCAACATAGCAAGACTCTGTCTCTAAATAAAATTTAAAAAAAGAAAAGAAAGAAACAATAGAGGTAGAAAAAGATCTTCAGTGTAAAAGACAGAAGGTTATTATTTTAACAACAAAGAGCTCTCACAGTGGGCCAGCAGGGTGGCTCATGCTTGTATTCCCAGCACTTTGGGAGGCCGAGGCAGGCAGATCACCTGAGATCAGGAGTTCAAGACCAGCCTGGCTAACATGGCAAAACCCCAACTCTACTAAAAATACAAAAAATTAGCTGGGCATGGTGGCATGCTCCTATAATCCCAGCTACTTGGGAGGCTGAGGCAGGAGAATTGCTTGAACCTGGGAGGCAGAGGCTGCAGTGAGCCGAAATCGAACCATTGCACTCCAGCCTGGGCAACAAGAATGAAACTCTGTCTCAGAAAAAAAAAAGAAAGAAAGAAAGAAAAAAAAAAAAAGGTTAGCAGGGCGTGGTGGTGTGCACCTGTAATCCCAGTTACTTGGGAGGCTGAGGCAGGAGAATTGCTTGAACCCAGGAGGCAGAGGCTGCAGTGAGCCGAGATCGAACCATTGCACTCCAGCCTGGGCAACAAGAATGAAACTCTGTCTTAGAAAAAAAAAAGAAAGAAAGAAAGAAAAAAAAAAAGGTTAGCAGGGCGTGGTGGTGTGCACCTGTAATCCCAGTTACTTGGGAGGCTGAGGCAGGAGAATTGCTTGAACCCAGGAGGCAGAGGCTGCAGTGAGCCGAGATCGAACCATTGCACTCCAGCCTGGGCAACAAGAATGAAACTCTGTCTCA